TTAAAATGTGTTTTAGATGTATCTTTGATGAGTTTTATTAATTCTGAGTTCATTAGCTGTTTAGTTTAACTTTGTTGATGTAGCCCATGAATGGTCTTTGAGAAGACATTCTTAACCCATTCGCTCCGGGTAAAAATGAACAAAAAATGGGGAAAATGCTGTGCTAATTTTTTTATTTTTTTTAATGAAATGTCTCTACACTAGATGGCTCTGCCTTACCTGTTTTCACCTTTACTTGAATTGGCGAGAAAATGTATTTTACTAGTGCTATGAATATCGATGGTTATTTTTATTATAAACATTATAATTACTATAATGTTATAAACATAAGTAACAGCAAAATAAGATAATGTAAAATATTTTCGTAAATTAAAGAAAAGCGTAGACAGGCGAGACAGGCAGTGCAAGTACAAGTGTAGCCATCTATGTTTGAAAACAATTAAACAAGTAAACTCACAGTGGGCCCGTCACGTATACGTGACACCCGGTGTGAATGGGTTAAAGATATGTCAGCCAGGTAAAGTTATCCGGAAAAAGGGATTTTTATTTCTGTGTATTTGAAGAATGTAGTATCTTAGTCACAACATTATACTCTTAACCCATTCGTGCCGGGTAAAAATGAACAAAAAATGGGGAAAATGCTGTGTTCATTTTTTATATTTTTTTGTGAAATTTCTCTACACTAGATAGCTCTGCCTTACCTGATTTCACCTTTACTTGAATTGGTGGGAAAATGTATTTTTACTAGTGTTATGAATATCGATGGTTATTTTTATTATAAACATTATAATTACTATAATGTTATAAACATTAGTAACAGCAAAATAAGATAACGCAAAATAATTTCATAAATTAAAGAAAAGGGTAAACAGGCGAGACAGGCAGTGCAAGTACAAGTGTAGCCATCTATGTGTGAAAACAATTAAACAAGTAAACTCACAGTGGGCCTGTCACGTATACGTGACCCCCGGTGCGAATGGGTTAAAAAGAAGAAAATAGTTATGCTAATAAGATAAACCAAGTTCTACAGGAAGTCTATAGAAACTTCAGTGGGAGCCAATTCATTCCCAAATTAAGTACTCTTTTATTTATTCTATTGCCTTCCTCCTGTTTTCCCATACAATCTTAGTTGCCTGTTTCTTTTTGTATTTAATTTTTCTTTTTGTTTATCCTTTTGTAACTCTCTATACTATGCTGTGTTGTTTTATATTCCTTGCTGGATTTCCTCAATACTGCCTTATTTCAGTTATGCTCTTCCGGATTTGTCCTTTATTTATATATCATACTAAGTCTATGCCATTTATTCTATTGAATTCATTCAGTCTTTTTTATTTAGTTTAGTAGTTCAAACATCCAATCCTATTTATAGTCCATTCTTTCTATTCATATGTACCCTTTTATATCACAGCCAAAAATACTAAGAAACACCTCTTCTGCTTCATCTCTCCAGGCTGAGGTGGACAATGGCAGGCCATTCCACACAGTGATGCACTTGTTTGACACTTGGATCAAGGAGGAAATCGGTCAAGACAAAAAATTCCTATTTGTTACCTGTGGAGACTGGGATCTTAAGACAATGCTGCCAAGTCAGTGCCAGAAAGAGAACATCCAGATACCTATTTATTGCAAGAAGTGGCATAATATTAAAAAGGTACTGTATAATTTTTTTGAGTGGTCCAGTATTTTGAAATTAGTATGTTTAGAATCCAAATGCTATGTGTTTGCCAGTTATATTAGGCAGTTTATTTAAAGTCTTATAAGTCTAGTCTTATACCTTGCTGTCATAATCATATTTCTGTACTGAAATTTACCTGTTTAAGGTTTAGATTTCTTCTTCTGACTCATAGTACTGCACATTTTTGCTTTTTTAAGATAGAGTGGCCGTATCTTTTGGAAATAAAACTGTATGTACATCATCACAAAATGTAGATTTCAATAAATAACAAAATTAATCTTTAGAGTTAGCAAGTTTTTCATATATGTTTATTTGAAATATTTGAATTAACCCAATGCTGACAGGCATGATGTGTACGTATATGGTATGTTCACTGTGAGTACTTGTTTGATTGTTTTTACACATAGATGGCTATACTTGTACTAAGTCACCAATGAGCCAATTACGAGTACTACCTGTCTTGCCCATTTGCCCTTTTCTTTGATTTACGAAAATATTTTATGGTATCTTATTTTGCTGTTACTAATGTTTAAAACATTATGATAATTATAATGTTTATAATAAAGATAATACCATTGATATTCATAGCACTAGTAAAAAATATTTTTTTCCTGCCAATTCAAATCACATAAGGTCACAAGGTCTATTAATAGACTAAGCACTAGCAGAGCCATCTATGTGCAGACATTTCACAAAAAATATAGAAAATGAGCTCAGAATTTTCCCCATTTTTTGTTAATTTTCCCTGGTGGCATTGGGTTAAAAAAGAAAGCTGAATGTTGTTTCTTGATCATCATTTGATCTCATGAGAATTCAGAAGTAATTGCTTGCTTGCCTTGCATAACAGCACATAGAATTGTATTGTGTACAAACAGACTTATCTAAGACAGAAGCAGAAAGTAAGTAAAGCAAGAAATTGTCCCTTTGCTTAACCTGTTGGATCCAGGTTCTTTACAGCCTATTCTTACTAGAAAAATTGTTTTTTCTAACTTCTAAAATGATGTATTAAGATGACATTACCCAGTTATTTTTTACCAGTGATTCTTGTAAAATTTACATACACAAAAAATAATAAAAGGAAATTATTAATGTTCATTAGGGTAGGGTTAAATTGTTGCATTTAACCCATTCCTCTTCAATGGCAAAAATACATGCCATGCCCTCTGTAATATAAGTTTATATATTTTAGTTACACATAGATGGCTCTACAAGTGCTTAATCACTGAGGAGTCAGTTGTTAGTCCTACCTATCTCACCTGTTTACCCTTTTCCTTGACTTTTGGTAAGGGTCTTTTGTATTAATTCATTGTCTTAAATGTTACCAAGATTTTGATAACAATTTGATAATCATAACATCAATAACAATAATAACAATATTGATAACAATTGCATTATAAAGAAAAGCCCAATTTCCCACCAATTCATGGAATGGGGAAATCAGGATCGGTCACTAGGGCTACTGTAGACTCCTTGCCGGCTGAGCACGTGTGGAGCCAAAAAAAATACGTAGGACAGAATGTAAATTTGTGGTGGTTGGGTTAACCCATGCCCCCCCCCCCCACTCACACACTCATATACATACACACACACACCACACACACACACACACACACACACACACACACACACACACACACACACACACACACACACACACACACACACTTACACACACACTTACACACACACTTACACACACACTTACACACACACACACACACACACTTACACACACACATTTACACACACACACTTACACACACACACTTACACACACACACTTACACACACACACTTACACACACACACTTACACACAGACTTACACACACGCACACTTACACACACGCACACTAACACACACGCACACTTACACACACGCACACTAACACACGCACACTAACACACACGCACACTTACACACACGCACACTTACACACACGCACACTTACACACATGCACACGCGCACACACGCGCACACACACATAAATTTGATTAAGATTATTTCCAGGTTGGTGAATGTATTATAACATTGATTGTATATATATATATATATATTTTTTTTTCTTTTTCAGTCTTACTCATTAATGACAGGTCGCTATATTAAGGGTATGATGCCTATGATTACGGGGCTGAAACTACAGCATGAAGGACAACTTCATAGAGGCTTGGGTAAGTTCAGGTGAGAATGAATCAGTGAATGGGTGTGTGTGCTTTTATTAGAGGGAAGATTTGCTAAGTGTAAGTGTCAAAGAAATGACAAGGGGATCATCTGCTATTCATGAATTCAAACTAAAATTCAGTGTGAGTGTTGGTTTGTTGTACATGAGAATATATATTTAAAAATTATTAGATGTAAGATTTCGAAAATCAGTTCTATGTATGAAAAGACGTACTGCATTGGCAGTGTAGATTTCTTCAGCTGGATTTATTGAAGAACGATGAAAAATGAGGAGAATTAGAGTCAGTACACTTTATTTTTATTTGGTTATTTCAGTGTTAATCAGAAAAAGTAGGAAAAAAATTGTGTGCGTACACACACACACACACACACACACACACACACACACACACACACACACACACACACACACACACACACACACACACACACACACACACACACACACAAATAAATCAAGATTGGTCACTGGGGCTACCGATAGACTCCTTGTCGGCTGAGCACATGTGGAGCCATCTGTATGTAACAAAATTAAAAAAAAACTACATAGGACAGAATGTAAATTTGTGGTGGTTGGGTTAACCCATTTATATATATGGATATGCATGTATGTATATGTATATATATACATATGTTATGTATATATGTGTATATATGTATATATATACATATGTTATGTATATATGTGTATATATGTATATATATACATATGTTATGTATATATGTGTATATATGTATACCTATATATATATATATATATATATATATATATATATATATATATATATATATATATATATATATATGCATATATGTATATATATATATACATATGTTATGTATATATGTGTATATATGTATATATATACATATGTTATGTATATATGTGTATATATGTATATATATATATATATATATATA